AGGGGGCGGCCGCCCCCGCCGCTTCTCCGACCCCGTCGGAGGACGAGGAGCTGGAGGAGGAGGAGGCGGCGGCAGCGGCGGAGGAAGGCGAGGAGGAGACGACGGCGTCGCGGGAGGAGCCCCTGGGCTTTCTATCCAGGCAGCCCCCGGTCCCCACCGGCCTGGACTGCAGCGCCCTGGACCGCGACCCAGACCTGCCCCCTGCCTCGGGCACGTCACACTTCGAGTTCCCGGACTACTGCACCCCCGAGGTCACCGAGATGATCGCGGGGGACTGGCGCCCGTCTAGCATCGCCGACCTGGTTTTCACCTACTGAGCCCATCGTCAGCGGGGCGCGCACGCCCCCAAACCAGCTGTTTACATACAGGAATCAGGTATTGGGGCCCCTCGGAGGCCGAGGCTGGCACCCCATCTCCCGCGCAGCCTCTCCCCTCCTAGACGTGCCCATCCCCCCCTCGGATCCAGACTTGCCCCTCCCCCGCGGACACACCCCAAGGCAACCCAACCCCCAGCCTTTCCCTGACAGCCACGCCCCTCCCCATTTTGTCCCCTCCCGCACAGCCACCAGCAGCCAGCCCCCCTCGGATACACCTCCCCTCTCCCTTACCGACCTGCACCCCTCCCCCACTTTGCACACGCCCCTCCTCGTGGCCGGAGGACACGCCCCCTCGCTCGCGAATCTCTTCTCCCTCGCCTAGCCTGCCTTCTTGGAGTGGGGGCGATGAGGCCCCACGCTCTTCTTCTAGCCCCGCCCCCTCCCGGGGGTTGGCGCGCGCTCCTTCACCCCTGGAGCTCTAGGGCCCGCCCCTCCTCTTGGGCCCACCCCCCTCCTTGCGCATGCTTAATGCTACTTGGGAGGAGGGGGCTGGTTCTTGGCCGGCTGCCGGCCTCTGGCCTGTGCCCAGAAGGACGAGGGCGAGCGTGGAGCGATCCTGAGAAACCCTTTGATCCTGGAGCCCTTGGCTTCCTCTCTACCCGACGGGGCGTCACTGCCTTAATGGGAGGAGCACTTAGAAGGGAGAGAAAAAATTAGGTAGTCCAGAAGGCATGGCTGGGTCTTGGACTCTCGAAGTGGCATAGGTCCGCTTCTCTGGTGAGGTCGCCCACACCCACCACCTTCCCAACAGCCTGACTGCCGTTAGTTTATCTTGGTCCCCAGGAACGTCCCTTTCCCCAACTGGGAATTGGGAGGAAGAGCTTCCTCTGGAAATCCACAGAGGAAGGGATTGACCAAGAAAACTTAGAAATGAGATCGCTACTGTCTGGGGACAGGATCCCTGCTGCTCCCACCCCCACCGGGGGAAGCGCCCTATCACCTCAGGGCACCCTCCAGCCTGGGCTCCTCTCTAAACCCACCATCCCTTCCTTCCTTGTCACCCAATCCACCCTTAACAACCACAGCTGCAGTATTCAGTGGGAGAAACTGAGGCATGTTGGTGCTAGGGGGTTGGGAGTGAGATAGGACAGCAGATGGGTGGCAGGAAGGAGCCCCCGAGTAAACAGTGGCTTGAGAGAGACCACCTACCGCGCGGGGAGAGGATGCGTTCTAGAGTGGAGATGGGCTGCTGTTTGCACCTCAGTTTTTCCATGTGAGAAATGGGGGCGGCGCTGCTGTTGGAGGAAGATGTGTCGGGTTCAGAATGCCTGAAACCGTGTCCCCCTGCTGTTACCCCCTCAGCCCGGCTCCCAGCTGGAGTCCCACCCCTCCGGCCTCCCCATGTCCCCTCTGCCGTCACTACCTGTATCGCCGGCGTGTGTTCACCTCCGGGTGGCTCACACACTCTCATTCACACACACAAATCTCAGGAACAAACGGTCCCAGAGTCCTCCGGGTCCCCTGCCCAGGGTCTCTACAGGTCTCTGCCCCACGCGTTCCCTTCGCTGACAAAGCCACCAGCTGCCTCTTTTAAGCTTGGTGCTCCGGCTCTGGGCCTTTCTTGCGCTCTCTCTCTCTCTTTTTTTTTTTTTTTTTTTTAAGAAAACAAAACAAAAAAGACAATGAAAAAAACCAGAAAACGTCATGTGAGTGAAGAGATGTCACTGTCTGTGGTCTTGGAGAACTAGTTAGTAGCTGAAGGGAGGGGTCCCTCCGTCTGGGGCACTGGCACCCACAGCAGGACTTCCGCCAGTCTGATGCCAGGACTGAATAAAGTGTATTTGCCCCAATCTTGCCCTGTGGTTCTGCATGTCTGTGCTTTTCCTCAACCCTCCCCCAACAGATGGCCAGATTTAAGTCTGCAGGATTTAATCTATGCAGGAAGAGCTAGCTGACTGGGGACCAGGTGCCTGGCCTGTATGGGCCTCTGTGTCCTTCTGTCTCAGGACTCCCTGCCCTCGCGGGGGGCAGCGGACTCCTCCCCTGCAGAGGCCAGGCAGGTAGCACGAATGAGTGAACACTGGTGTGAGGACCCAGTTCAAGGGTGGCAACTACCTACCTGCTGTCAGTTGTGACCCTGTGGGAATTTGGTCCAGGGTGACCAGGTGGTCAGATTTTTCAAGAGAAGCTGGAGACATTGTTGCTTCTGAGTCATCATAATTTCAAAATGAAAACTGACTCAAATATTTTTAAACCTCTGAGCCAAGTGAAGCAGGTGTGTGGGCAGGTCAGCCCCAAGGTTAGTTTGTCCCTGCCCTAAATGAATACTAAAAAGCTGGCTAGGGCCACACTGCCCAAGGCCCAGCTCCTGCCCTGAGTACACGTCTGACCTGAAGCAAATTAACTTTATCCCAACTCTTCTTTCTGAATGTGTCACATGAGGGTGAGGAGGAAACCTGCTTCCTGGGCTGGCAGCGTTTGACATGGTGCTCCATATATTTCCTTCCTCCATTGTCTGTAGAGGAAGCTGAGGGTCAGGGGAACCAAGGCCAGGGATCTCGGTTCTGTGTGTTGCTGAAGCGCTGCTCAGGCGCTGCCCACCTCCCAGTGCCAGCCTACAGGTCGGCCACACGCTGGGCTGCAGTGTAGACTGCACAACCAGAAAGCAGCAGAAGCCACAATTCCTCGCTGTATGGTTGCTCCTGCGCCCTCCTCACCCGGAGGTGGCTGGTGTGTCTCAGAAACAGACCAGGGCTTTCCCTCCTTTGTTCCCGACACTCCTGCCCCTAATTTGTTTACCAGATCCTGCGAATTCCTATACTCAGATAAAGCCCCTTCTTGCTCCAATAGCAAAGGCTAAGTGCTTCCTTTCAGCCTCTAGTTCGAAGCAAGCTGGAAGGCAATCCTAAGAGGAGGTAGTGAGAGAGCACAGAAGGCAGTGCCCTTGCTGTGCAGGATGGCCTCCCAGCGAGGGCTTCAGGTCATGGATGGCCTTACTGCCAGTGCCTCAGTGTTCAGAGACACCTCACTGAGGTCACATCTGCCCCGGCATCCTGCCCTGGTGGCTGAGCCAGGCACAGCATGCACACCTGGCCATCTGTACCATGGTGCCCCCACCCCAGACCAGCCAGGGCACTGTCAGTCAGGCCTGCAGCACGGTTTGACCTCTTCCTGTGCCCAGGCCTGCTGTCTCTTCTCTTCACAGGTGTTGTCCCTAATAAACATCTTGCACCTGCAACTCAATCTCTGTGTCTGCTTCTGGAGAATGGTCAGCATCAGAGGGTCAGAGCTGGACAGAAGGAGTGGGGTCAATGGCTCAGCAGTGGCAGCTGAGTACCTTGGACATCTCCGAGTCTCAAGTCTTCCTTTTACCAACACCCGTCAGTACTACCCCTGGGACCACCAGAGCTGCAGCTGAGCCCCAGAGCACTCAAAGTGGGCTCTCACTGCCCTTACCCATCGAGGGGGACATAATCACAAGTGCTGTCCTTCAGGATGGCTGGGGTGGAGGGAGACAGTGCTGGGGCTGTGGAGCCAGTGGCAAACCTTGCAGGCTTTGGTGCCCCGTAGGTAAGGTGGGGGAGGGGACTAGGAGAGAAACCATCTCTTGTTCTGGTTTCTTCGCGCGCACGCCTGTGTGTGTGTGTGTGTGTGTGTGTGTGTGTGTGTGTGTGTGTGTGTTTTACTGGGGATTGAACCCAGAGATCCCAAGCCCTTTTTGTTTTTGGAGACAGGGTCTCTAAATTGTGCAGGCTGGGCTCAGACTTGTCATCTGCCTGCTTTAGCCTTCTAAGTAGCTGCACATACAAGCCTCATCCTTTCCTCTCCAGATGCAGACCTGAAAAGGCAAGGAAGACACCTGCTTATAGGGACTCTGAGGACACCTAGTGGCCAAGAGGAGTAGAAAGCACTTCCGTGCAGGTGGGATGGAGGAAGGAAGTGACTCCCGCTCCAGTGTCCCCATTCAGACAGTCACTGGCTCACTGCTGGGTCGTGTCTCATACCTGGGCAGTTGGAGCCTCTTGGTTCCAAGGCTGTAAAAACAACTATGCACTGATCTACCGTTATCTATCACTGTGCAGTGAATTGCCACAAACTTAGTGGCTTCAAACAATGCAGGTTTACTGCTTCCCAGCCTCCAGGGGCAGGCATCCTGGTGCCCTTAGCTGCTCAAGACCACAGGGCAGCAAGCGAGGTGTTCATCAGCCTGTTGGCTGGCCTGTGCGCCCCTGCCCCTTGGATGCTCAGCGTCCTTTTCCAATTCCATTCTATGTGGCTGCATGACAAAAGTTTCTCTCCTTGCTGGCTGGCAGTTGGTGCCTCTCCTAGCTATTCAGTTCTCTTCATCGAGGCCAGCAGGAGACCCAGACAAGGTTCAACTTTTAAAGGTGTGTGGGGGTCCTACCTACCCAAAACATCTACTGACTTATCTAAAAATCAACTGACTTGTGACATTAATTCCATCGCAGAAGTCCTTTCACCTTTACTGTACATTGTAGCCTAGTCCTAAGAGTGACACCCACACAATGGGAAGCGGGGGGGGGGGGCTGGGCCTGTCCACCTGCAGCTGGAATCTGGGACCCTTCAGCTCACCACAGCTGAGGATTCTCAAGTCTCCCACCACACTGCCAGACTGACTGCCTTCTTCTGCCACTAGAGGTTTAATCACAACTCAGGCTTGACATGTCGAGAAACGACTTGTGTTCCGGGATGCTCCCCAGCCTGCTTACGCCATGCGTCTTCACATCTGATGCAAAGTACGAAGCCACCACCTTTGGCTCCTTGACTCTTGTTTGCCTCATGCTTCATATCCTCTGTGTCCCACTGTGCTTCCTTCAAGTATGCCCTGTGTCCTTTTGCCTCCCGTAGCCACATTGCTGGCTCAGCCCCTGTGGCTCTCCCTGGCTTCCTGCACCAGCCTCCCGGTGCACCCCTTTGCGCTGCTCACAGCCTTCCCTGCTCACCTGTCCACACTTTCCCTCAGGATACAGCCCAGCGTCTAGTGTTCACTTCTTTTCTTTTCTTTTCTCTTTTCTTTTTTTTTCAGCAAGGGATCAAATCCAGGGATGCTGTGCCACTCAGTTACATCTCTAGCCCTTTTTTGATGATGGGGGTGGTTGTTTGAGACAGGGTCTCACTATGTCATTCAGACTGGCCTTGAACTCACTATGTGGCCCTGGTTGGCCTTGAACTTGTGGTGATCCTCCTGCCTCAGCCTCCCAAGTGTTGGGATCACAGGCAGGCATGTACCACCACACCCAGCCTCTCTAGTTCTTTTTTTTATTTTGAGGCGTGGTCTTGTCAGGTTGTCCAGGCTTAGCTGAACCTTGTGATCCTCTTGCCTCAGCCTTCTGAGTACCCGGGATTACAGCCCTGCACCACCAAGCTTGGTTCCTTTACTCTTTTATAAACCCATCTTCAACCACTCAAATTCTACCTCGCCACACTTGGTCACACCCCAATGACAGTAGTACACTTCCAAGCCACTTGTCTCTGCTCTTGTTGAGGAATTGAAGAGGCCTTGGGCTAATCATGTTGCCTTTTGAGGCCTCAGTGCCCCAGCTGTCCAGGTAGGGATTGGTCTGAAAGTCTCCTGGGTCACCGTGGCCTGGCATTCCAGGAGTCTCTGAGAAGAAGGAGTGGTGTCTGCAAGCAAACCTGTCTGTCTGGCTTCTAGGTTGCCTAGTGATGGATGCCAACTCTCTCCCCCATCCTAGGGGGTTTCTTAGCAACCCAGTTTCTCAGCCTCAATTGTCTGCAGGGTTTCCTTTCAACTAAATGTCAAATTCTACTCTTTCTGCTCCAAAAAATCTGAAGCCCCAGGTCTCTGTGGATACAAACCTAGAATGAAAAGTCTGCATTAGAGGACAGCAGACGATTTGCTGTATGACTTGGAAAAGCTGCCTGACCACTGTGGCTTTATTTCAGATTGTGGCTACCTGTCATGTGCTCCTTAGGGCCTCCTTCTCTTATATGTTTGATTCCACTGCTAAATGTATTCCCCAAATGTCCTGAGTAGCTGGTATTATAGGCCTGCACCAGCATGCCCACACTGACATTTGTATCCACTTCACCACCCTTTTAAATCTCCTGTTGAACTAAAACCTTCTCCTTTCATACCAGATAATGCCTCTTGCTTTTCTCATTAGGTAAAAGTGCCATGTCACCCAGCTTCCCACACCACTCACCCATGAAGCAAATGAACAGTAATACTGACAGCAATAATTCACTGTTCTCGCTCTATTCCCAGTGGTCTGAACATCTTATTATATGCACAACTCATTTCAAAGTTTCTATCCCTTTGAGAAGCACATACTTACATTATCTCTATTTTAGAGAAACTAAGGATCACAGTGGGTAAATTGTGTAAGCACCAAGTGGCAGAAACAAAGTCCATACCTGGATCTGTTGTTTGTTGTTTGTCTTTGTAGTACTGGGGACTAAATGCAAAGCCTTCAGATCAGGCTATAGCCCCAGCCTTTTTTATTTTGATTTGAAGACAGGGTCTTGGTAAGTCACTAAATTTCCCAGGCTTAGCTCAAACTTGCAGTCCTCCTGCCTCAGCCTCCCAGGGTGCTGGGATTACAAGTGTCCTCTGCCATGCCCAGCTCTGGATCTGTTTTGAGTTCAGTTCACAGACGCTCCATGTATCTCCTCCCAGTGGCATCCCTCCCCTCCTTCCTGGGTCTTCAGAAGAGGCAGGTTCTCTCCTTTGCAGGCTCAAGGTCCGCACATTCCCCCTCTCCTTAGGAGCTCATCCCTTCCCATCTCCTCCAGAGCCTCATCCATCTCCTGCCCCTGCTGTCACATCCACTTGCTGCTGTCCGCAGTGTGGCCTCCCACTCTTTCCAAATCAACACCCTGCTCCCCCTCACCAACAGAGCACTGTCCACCCTAACCCCCGCCCAAGGGCCCTGCTGTCTCCTCATTGCCACTTCTAAGCCTGGTGGCCCTGCTGTGAGTTGAGCATATTTGGCAGTGTTGAGCAGCTGCCCTGCTCAGAGCTGTCTCCCTGTGGTTTCTGTAACATGGTGGTGCGCCAGGCCCTAATACCCCCTCACTTCCCCACCCCACTGCCTTCCTGCATGTTCTCTGACCTGACCAAGTGCACGGCCGTGTCGAGACGTGTCCACAATGTCTAGGAATACTCCTCATGAGGGGCCATCTATGAATCTGGCCCAACCCCGGGGACTGACCAGCTGGCAGACCATGGTAGAATCATTCTGTGGCAACTTCTGAGCCGGGTCATAAAGGCAATTGCTGCCTGGCTCACTGGAGCCCTGAGCCATTGTATAAGAAGTGTTGCCTGAGCTGGGCATAGTGGCACAAGAGTAGAATCCTGGCACTCTGGGTGGCTGAAGTAGGAGGTTCACAAGTTCAAGCCCAGCTGGGGAACTTGGTGATTAAGCAAGACCCTGTCTCAAAATAAAAAAGCAGAAGTCTGATAAGGTAGCGCAGGGTGAAGGCCCTGGCTTCCATCCCTAGTATAAAAAAAAAAGTCTGTTGTAGGGGTGGGAGCCCAAACTGGTTCACCCAGAAAGATCCCCTGGGACCTCCTCTCTTCCACCTTGTGGAAGAGAGAGACAGAGAGATGCCTGGCCAGCCCCAAGCACTCTGGCTCCAGCCACAAAAGAGACCTCAAAGCAGAAGCACCTAGTGAGCCTCCCGAAATCCCTGCCCCCCAGAAGTGTGAAAGATGATAAAACAATTGCCTTGGAGTGGCATATGCATCCCAGACACCTGGAACAGAGCTGTCTTAGGCTGCCCCAGCTGCTACAGTAAGGTGACATTGACTGGGTGACTTCAGAAGTTATTTCTGCAGGCTAGGAAGTCCAAGAGCAAGGTGCAGCCACCTCTAGGCTGGCAGCCGGCTATAGAGTAGCTCCTTAAGTCCCCTCCATGGGGACCCTACCGCCTCCCAGAGCCCCATTTCTAAATTTCACCATATCACAGCTCCAACATGTGAACTGTGGGAGACAGCATTCTGTCCACAGGAGAGGGTCCCGCATCTTAAAGCATTTGTTTTGCGTCCCCTACCCTTTCCCACAGCAACAGTGTTTCCCTTTTCCTTTATCCTCCTCAGCAGCGCTCTAAGTCCAGAGACTCAGCCAAGCCCACCAGACCCACTCCTATGGACTCAGTAGTGACAAACTCCCCAGCTGGCAGCAACTCAGTCCATGTTGGGGCCTTTGCTGGAGCTGTAGGAAAAGAGGAGTTCTTTCCCACCATTATACTTAAAAGATGGAGTCATTTTGCCACCATTTGGGAAGAGTCTCCCTGATGTGAAGCCAGCACAGAAAGCAGAGCAGCGTCAAAGAAGAAAGAATCCTCAGCATCTGGATCCAGTCATGCTGAAGGCAGTATCCCTCAGCTTCTCAATTATCCGAGGCTGTACAGTTCCTTTCTGTTAAGCCAGTTCAAGTTTAGTTTTGTCACTTGACACCAGTACCATTCCCTGCACTGTACCAAGGTCTCAGCCTTGCCCCTGATTCCAGATACACATAGCCTACTGCTTCCTGGACATGGACATTCCGCTGAGCCAAAAGCTCAGGACTCCGAGATCTCCCTGCTGGGCTCCCTGTCAGTTTCCATCTCTCTTGATCAGCGCATCGCCCGCTCGACCTGACACTGTGATGGTCATCCTCTGTCCCCACTCCCTCTCCCTGTCCTCATTTCTTAGTTACGGAGTCCTGCTGACTGCATTTTGTGGACGTGGTTTAGATTTGCGCCCTGTCTCACTCTCCCCTGACCACTTCAATCCTTCAGGATTTCTCACCCAGATTATTATAAAAATAGCAGATGACTGACCCAAAGTACACAGCAAAAAGCGAATTTCTTGGCTGCCCGTGCCCACGGCCAGCCTCCCACTAGACATCCACTGTCACCTCTTTCATGCCTATCCTCCCACAGCTTCTCTTTATGCCCCAATTTCCTTTTGGAGAATTGCAAATATGAGGCCTGCTATCAAGATTCTTTTTGCTACCAAGCGTTTACAGACCGCTGCTGTTTCCTTCACTGAGCTTGAAGTTTCACTGATCTTGAAGTGTAGGACCAATTCCTTCTTTTGATGGCTCCATGGATAGATATATAACCATTTGTACAACTTGTCTTCTACTGATGGATATTTAAATTATGTTCTAATTACTTATTGATGCCTAAAAAGTCACCAGAATCGCAGTGGTGTAACACAGTAGCCATTGGAGTATGCTGTGGATTCCATGTGTCCTTTCTGCTCCACAACGTGTGAGGCTTCCCTGGCAAGACTCGAAGGTGGAAGCTCCGTGGGGACTGCAGTCACCGGCTGCTTTGCTGCTCACTTTTCTCACGCCTGACCTAGGATGGCTCAGAGGCTAAGCCTTGCTGGGGGTGTGGTGCCTTCCCAAGAGCTCCCCACACGGTGGCTCTGGCTTCCTCCCCGCTCAGCAGGCTGGTTGATTGCATATGCTTTCCTGTCCCACCTTGGAGGTCCCTTCTGTCACACTCTAGAGGTCAGGGTGCTCAGCAGCTCATCGAGATTCAGAGGATACACAGACCCACCTCTACCCAGGGTAGAGGAACTTGTAGCCATGTGGTAAAATCACCCAGGTTGTTCCAGCCTTCTGCTGGCACAGGGAGACAGCACGATGATCACGACGCAAAGGGAAGTTTGTGCAGCAGTGCCTGCCAAAGTTTAGAAGCTACAATGACTTCCCCAAGACCACACAGCAAATGTCTACGTGCAGGAAAGGCAAGAAGTTGGCCAGGTTGCCCAGCAAAGGCTGACACTCTAGGGAGATGGCTGAGGCACTAGGTGGCTAGAGCAGAACTGGAGAGGCTGTCTCTTTACCTTCTTCCAGAGAGCGAAGGTGCCGCACTTTTTGCTAACACTAGGCCCGCTCTCCAAATCAAGGTGATGGGGGACTGAATCCTTGGCCATAGTGAAGACTCGGAGAGAAGAGGGCAGAGAGAGGACCTGGGCTCAGGATGAGGGCTTCCGAGAAGGCTTGCCAGGAGGTGCCCAGTGAGAGACAGGTGGGCCTTCATGTCGGGGCACAGGCGGGGCAAGGGTACAGTGAGGCGATGAAGGCTCAGGGGGCAGTGGGTCATCAGTGGGGGCACAGAGTCACAATCGGGCCAGGATTCTGAGGGCCTGCAGAGCAAGTGAGGCCCAGGAGGTGAGGGTCTCCACGAGGGGTCTGGGGTCTCCGAAGGGGAAGGAACTCAGGAAGGGCACAGGGGTCCTGCGCTGCCTGGGACCGGACCGCAGTCTGCCCAGCCCAAGGGGCACCGGCGCCCCCTCTTCCCCCCCTCCCGTGTCACCCCCGCCCAGGCTGCGGCGCAGGCGCGAACCGAACCCGCTTTTGCTCTGCTCCAGCCCTAGCTGCAGTTCGCTCGGCGGAGACGGCAGGCAGATCGGTGAGCTCGGCCCCCTCCCCGGCGCGCCACGACCCTTGCCCGGGATTTCGGGAAGGCCACCCTCTAGCCGGGTCCCCAGCCCCGACTGTGTCCCGCTAGGGCAGCCCCGGGTTCTGGGAGGTGAGGGTCCCCAGGAAGCACCGGGCAGAGACAGCCTCCGGCCAGCCGCCCCTCGGCACCTGGGGATTGATGGGCCGGGCAGAGCCTTCAGAGGACGAGCTCCTCCAGCTCCCTGAAAACCCATTCCTGTCCTATTCAGCCTCAGGTTGCCTCCAGAGGAAAAGAGCCAGCTAATTTCACTCGAGGAAAAAGAGTCAGTCAGAAAGAGGGCTGCTTTGGGGATCTGATGTCCCTAGTGGGAAGGGGCTGGGTTGGGGTCTGGTCCGGAGAACTGAGTGAGGCCACGCGGGGTGGCGGGTCCTGCGTCTTCGCCCTCGGGCCCGATCCGTGGCGCAGGCTTCTTCTCGCCTTCTCAGCCGCAGCCCCCCGCCACTACACTCGGTCTCCTCCTCTGCCGGCCCCCCCAGTCCCTCCCTCCGCCAGCTGGGGCCCCGCCCTGCGGTTCCCATGGCAACCCCGCGGGCCTAGGCCGCCTCCCCTGAGGGATAGACTGCTCGGACGAAGACTGGGGGAGGGACCGGAGCGGGAGGCGCTGCCAAGGTCACCTTGCTTCTCCAGGATCGGCGGGACTGAGTGATTACATACTTTTGGGGGCGGAAGAAGCAGTAGATGAAAGAGGAAGGACTGACCTGGGTCCCCTCCCAGGATTCTCACTTGGGGCTCTAATTAATGGTCTTTGCCCTGAAGCTCCGACTGCCCTCCCACCCCCATTCATTCTCCCCGCTCCGCCTCTCAGGGCGGGCACTGCGCAGGCGCGCCGCGCCCTGCAGGCTCCGCCCCCCGCGCCTCCCGCCTCGCTTCTCCCTCCTGCGTCACTTTTGTGCTTTGGGCCTCTACCTTTTCCCATTCTGACAATTTAATTTTTTTCATTTTTTTCCTCTTCTTTCGTCTGAATTGCAAATGAGGATGGACATATGCGACCTGTGGACAGGCTTTATTGATAGCGATCCTGTGCGCTTTTGGCTCAGCGGGGTCTCCAAGAACCGCAGCTGTGTGTGTGTGCGCGCGCGCGCGCGTGTGTGTGTGTGTGTGTGTGTGTGTGTGTGTGTGTGTGTGTGCGCGCGCGAGCGCGCGCGCGCTGCCGTGCTTCTACGCAGGGATTTGAGGGTCGCATCAGAGTGGCAGTAAGGGAGGCCGGAGACCTGTCTTAACCCTTCAGAACAACCACTGCTTAATTTTGTTTGAAGCTGCTCAGAGGGGCTGAGGGCCTTCTGGTGGAGGGGAGGGACAGAAGCCCCGTCTCCCAGAGCACCCTGCCCACTTTGATTGTAGCCCTCTTTGTGTGTGGACACTCCCATACCTACCATTCTCACGGCGTGTGTCCCCTCCGTGAAAAAGGGTTTGTTATCGATTCTTTCTGGGAGGTCTTCTTTTGATACTGGGGGTTAAACCCACTGAGCTACTTCACACTGAGCTACATCCTCAGCCCTTTTTATTATTTTTAAATTTGAGATAGGGTCTCACTAAGTCACTAATTTGCCCAGGCTGGGTTTGAACTTGCCATTCTCCTGCCTCAGGCTCCAAGAGTGCTGGGATTACAGGTGTGCACCACTACACCTAGCTAATAGGGTTCTTAAATAGGTATCTCTGGATTCCAGTCCTTGAGCCTAAGCTAATCCCAAGCTTCACCTCCCACGGAGTCCATTTCCTTGGGGCCTTCAGCTGCGAAGTGTAGCCCTGGGGAGAAACGTTCAAGGGCTTTGCAGCCTGTGTCAGCCAAGGCCGTTGCTCCTAGGAGGGGCTGGAGGTGGCTTTGAGGGAAAAGCAACAAGAACAAGAACCTCTCGCTCTAGGCACGGGCCCCTACAAGTTCAGGATAGAAATAATAACACAGAAGTTACAGTCATAATCATAACAGCTGCTATTTCTCAGCACCAGACACAATAGCTGAATGAAGCAAACATCATTCATAGCCCTATTTTACAGACAAGGAAACTGAGGCTTAGAGAGGTGAAAGCATATGTCTGAGGTCACACAGCAAGGAAGTGGTGGCCTAGGGGTGAATCCACGCAATCAGGCTACAGAGCCCGCAGGCAGCAGCCACCAGCAGCTTCCAGTGTGAACCTGCACAGACTGACACCCCAGTGGTGGTCACCAGGATAAGCACCTGGACCGTAGCTCCTTCTGAGTCTTAGGGGAAGAGGCTGGGCTGTGCTGTGAGGGTGGGAGGACAAGTGGGGGCACACATGGGACAGTCACCAGGGCAGCTCTGGAGTCCCTGCCCCATCAGCTACACCTTATCTGCCCACAGGGACCCAACATGCTGGCCTGCAACCCCTCCTGCGCCTGCAGCCGCAGTGCCATGGTGGAGGAGAGCAAGTGGAAGGGGGTCTTGTCCTACCTGCACCTCTTCTACGAGGACTGTGCTGGCACAGCTCTCAGTGATGACCCCGAAGGATCCCTGGCCCTGTGTCCCCGCCAGCCCTGGCCTTCACTGTGCTGGAAGGTAAGGTCAGAGGAGCAACTCTAGGGCTCCTGGAGCCACAGCGTGGAGAGAGAGGACTGAACTAGATATTCAGAGGCTTGAAAGTAAAGCTAGGAGTCTTGCACATTTGAGCAACAGAAAACTGAACTCAAATAGGTTTAAACAGTAAAGAGAAAATGCTGTTCCTCTTCTATAAGAGACGAGACATTCAGTACCCTCTGGAAAATCTGACCCAGCAGTTCAAACCATTACACTGAAGACTTCCCTACTTTTCACTTAAGTCTTCAGGGTCTCCATGGGGCCCCTATCCTTATAGCAGAACAGCTTCAAGCCCTCCCTACACATTCCCCAAATGGCTACTGCTGTACCAACCCCCACACCTTTAAGGGAAGATGGTGTCCTACATTACTTCCTTCAGAAAAGAAAAGATGCAGAATAGCCAGAAACCAAAAATATCACCTGAAGCACGCTTGTAATCCCAGCATTCAGGAGGCTGAGACAGGAGGATCGCTGTGAGTTTGAGGCCAGCCTGGGCTACAAAGTGAGCTCAAGGCCAGCCTAAATTGCATAATGAGACTCTGCCTCAAACACACCCACACACACACACATCACCACATCACCATTCAGACACACACAACACACACAAGTGGGTACACACATACACATCACCATTCCCATCAGCACACTCCTCCCCAAAGGTAGAAATGGGTATACATTTAAGAAAATATGTACAGATAAGAAGTCTTGCTATTATCAAGACATAATTCTATCTACAGACTCAACACAATCCCAATAAAGTTTTATGTATGCCAACAAACTGATCATAGTTTATAGGGAGAGGCAAAAGATCCAGGAGAGCCAGAAGTTAGAAACAGGCTGCCGTGCACAAGCCACAGTGTACTCAGCTCGCAGCCACATGGCTGAACTCATCACCCTGGAGGAACACTGACTGCAGGCTTGAGCTCCCTTCTCTTCAGTCTTGGCGTGGTTTCCCAGTGCTGTGGTGCTCAGGTGCTGTCGCAGTGAGCGGACAGACCTGAGAGGAGCAAAGCATTCTTGTCCACGACAGCCAGGGAGAGTTGGCAGCCAAAAGCTCCTACACTGGGCATAGCTTCCTGCTAAATATTTAGGAAAAGTGAGGGAGGGAGTCTCTCCTACTTTCAAAGAGCTTCGTTCTAGTGGGGAGGCTGGATGCAGAGGTGCCAGCCTGCACAACCTTAGGCCAGCTGTGCAGAGGATGCCAGGAAAGGAAGTGGACTCAGCCCTGGGGTGGTCAGGGAAGACCCCCAGAACAAGGTATGTGTTTAAACTTTTTAAGCATCTTGTTATTGTCAGGCACTGTGCTAGACTCTTGGGGACAAAGAATTTAAGAAGCCATGATCCTTGCTCTAGAAGAACTCCCAGGTATGGTCACTTAGTCATCAGCATCAGCCTCTGCCCCGGGCCAGCACTGTGTCAGGCATAAAGACACAGACTGAGCCCCAGCAGGCAGTCTCCACTCTTACAGGCTCTCCACTCTGTGGAACAGGCCAACCTCACTTAGGCAGGACCCCAAGCCCAGGTGTGGGGCTGCACCAGGGTGGGCACACACAGAACAAATGGGGGCAGAGTGTGCGCAGATCCTCAGCAGGATGCCCGCCCTCAGCCTGGGTGTCCCAGGTGGTTTCCAAGGAGCGGAGAGGTTTGAGATGAGACTGCGGATGCATAGACACTGACCTGGCAGAGATATAGAGGGTAGAAAGGACGAGAGGCTAAGACGAGGTCCAAGTCATGCTGAGGGCGCCTCAAGCTTGGCCTGGTGGGAGCTGCAGAGGAAATCCACATGCAGGCCTCGGGTTCCAAATGGAACGGGAGGGCTGATGTTGTCAGAACCCACTGGTGTGTCCTGGGATCGGATCCCATCTCTCAAGCTTGGGATCCACCTGGGGTCCCAGGTGACCCTGACTACCTCTCCCCAGATCACCCTGTCCACAGGGACCCTGCTTCTGCTCCTGGGGATAGCAGCTCTGACCACTGGCTACGCGGTGCCCCCCAAGCTGGAGACCGTCAACAATGTAGAACTGCCGATGCTGGATGAGCGGGCTGCCGACTACAACAAGGCCCTCAGCATCTGCCGCCTGGTAGGCACTGCGCTCTGTGGGGCAGCCGGGATCCTGCTGACCGTCTGCCTTGTGTGGGCCACGTCAGGCTGCCTGAATCCGGACGTCAAGGTGGAGCCCTTGGACACCGAAGCTGACAGCCATGTGGAGGTGTTCAGGGATGAGCCAGAGCAGCAGCTGTCCCCCATCCTTCCTGGTGCCAGTGGCCAGTCATGGTTCTCAAGCCCCACCAGGCCCTCCGGGCAGTGCTCCGCTCAGACCATGGAGCCCAAGAGAGACTCTTGAGTGCCTGTGTGGCAGCTCAAGGAGAGCTGGACCCCTTCCTCCTGCCATCACGCCTCGCCCTCCCACTGTCCTCCAACTTCTCCCTCTTAGCAGGGCCCCTTCTCCCCAAGGCCCCAGAAGGCCCGGCTCCAGGTCAAGCTTGGAGCTCCGCTCCCCACACCCCCGCCGGTGTGGCACCTCTGTTCAAGGTCTCCCACCCCTCCTCCCCAGGCCCTTCAGGTCCGAGGACATCTCCCCCAACCTGTCGCCACCCTCCTGTCTCGGACTCTGGGCGCCCCTTGCCCTCAGACTATCAGTTCCTGCCTGTCTGACATCTGACCATCCTGGAGTTCTGTGCTCTTCCTTCGCTCCGCTCCTGGGGTGTGAGAGCTGCCCTCCACACAGGTGGGGAGGGCGAGTCGCTCTCATCCCCCAAGACGCCCCCAAGATGGTGTAAAAACATGTTACCCACACCGTGCTTCGCACCTGCACTGCGGCACCGAGCCCCCAGCCCAGGCTTCTCAGGCAACCATCACCCCATGTGCAGAGCAGGAGGCTGAGGCAGGCTAAAAGCGGTGTGTCTAGGGTCAGTCACAGAGCAAGGCGGTGTGCAGAAACTGGAACCCAGCTGGGCCAGCTCTGGTTCTGCAGCTGGAGCAGAGCTCCACACCTTCCTGGTTCCCAGGAGGGTCTCAGGGGTGAGGACAGATTTGGCCTAGGAGACGAGCTGGAGGCCTGGTGGTCCCAGGTGGCTACTCTGGACACAGATTTAAATGCTCTCTAAGCGCCAGGGACAAGGAGAAGTGGGAAGTCTTTGCCCCCTCAAAGTCCACCCCCTGGGCACCCGTGCAAGGTGATGACAAGGGCATCACCTGGATGCAGCGCTCCAACCCCGCCAGAGCCGTCATCTCCTCCTCTGCCGCTAGGGGGCGCCCGAGGCCGCCGGAGATACGCCCTCCCGAGGCCGCCCCCGCCCCCTCCTTCCCGCCGGCCCAGGGGATCCGGGCTCCTCAGCCGCCCGCCGCTCCCCGCGCCCTGTGCCCCCCGCCCGCCCGCCCGCCTCATCCACTGCGCGATCCGCTCAATAAACACCTGGGGCAGCCGCCGCTTCCTCTCTAGGGGTCACCGCTTCCTCTCTTGGCGGGGCGTCTGTGGCGTGAGGGGCGCGGAAGTCGTTCTGCTCTCCCGGGATAACCCGGGAGAAAGGAATGCATTCCTCATTTTACAGGCTCGGTACCTGGCGGTCCTAGAGGCGAAGAAGCCACGTGCCCAAGGCCGCCCGGAGCGGATCCAGATGCGGGCCCCACCGTGCGGCCTGGGAGGGAGGGCGAGAGGGAGAGAGCTCTCATCCCTGGAGTGAGGAGGGCAGGCTGGGGCCAAAGGCGCGTCCTTCCCCGGACCCGACTGGAAGAACTGCTGCCCCCTGCGGGCCCTGTCCTCGAGCTTTCAGACCTGAATTCTACTCACCTTGGCACCAGCCAGGCCTGAGACGGACCATTTTCCCAGACCGGGATCCTGAGCGCCACGCGTGTATTTCCAAATGCTTTTCCTGGAGGCTGAATTTGGACTCAGCCATTCCAAACTATCCTCCCACCTCTGCCCCGCTAAACCAGCTGCTGCCATCTGCATTTAGGGAGTGATGGCTCAACACTTCCTGCTGCTGCACCGGACCTGGGAGTCCTCCTGGACTCCTTTTCTCATGCCCTGAAACCAGGGTGCCAGCAACAACCACCCAAGAACCGTCGATTCAACCTTGGACACATCCTGTCCCCAGCCTGGGCCAGGCCGGCTCCTGAGCTGACCACTGTCGCCTGTCAGGTAGGGTACCGCATGCGCATCTCCCTGGATTCCACACGCACCCTCCCCGAGTCTCAGCCGTAGGCAGCAGCCAGGCCAGCCAGACCGACACAGGGAAAACACAAGTTAGTCCAGTTCCTCTGCTCCGAATCCTAAGTTAGGCGCAGGATGCAGTGATGTGCACCCATATTTCAGCACCCAGGAGGCTGAAGCAGGAGGAACACCATCAGTTCCAGGCCAGCCTGGCCTACATAGAGACCTTGTCTCAAAAAACCAAACCAAACCACAGTAATAATCGTCATAGGACAAATCCATTGAGGAATGACAAAATGAGTAAAATTCAGGTGAAAAAGGCTATCTGTGCAGCGTCAAGGCATCTCCCACAGACGCGGTGGTTTTTCCAGCTGGGTGCCACTTCTTTGATGCTCTGGGTGCTGGGAGCAGGCTTCATTCTTCTCTCCTGGAATTGGGGCTGCACTGAGCCACTTGCTTCTGACATGTAGAACTTTAAAATCAAAAATAGTGATTTTCAGGCCTGGGGATTTAGCTCAGCGGCACAATGCCTGCCTGGCAAGCACAGGTCATGAGTTTGATTCCTGGTACTGGAAGAAAAACAACAGCAACAACAACAAAACAAAAATAGTGATTTTCGGGGCTGGGGATATAGCTCAGTGGCATAAACGCCTGCCTGGCAAGCGCAAGGTTGTGAGTTCGATCCCCAGTACTGCAAAAAAATAAAAATAAAAAAATAGTGATTTTGGGTGGAAACTCGGCTCTGCCCAACAACCACCCTCTCCATCTACCTCCTCCCGGCTGAGAGGGTGTCAGTCCACCAGGTTGAGGGCACTGTGTGAACCTCAGAAGCTTCTTAACCTCTCTGAGTCTTCTTAACCTCTCTGCCAGAGCTCTGCCCTGCTCTGGCAGATACCACCCTAACCAAAGGATTGGGGCTAACTTCAGCAGGGCAAGGACTGACATCAAGCCCTGCAAAATGAAGGGCGAAAAGGGTGTTTCACCTGAGTGGTCTCCACCCCACATCCATAACTTCCGCCCAGGCAGGAAATCTGTCCTGCTGAAGATCTGCCCAGCACTCTTCAAACTCCTCCAGGTCAGGGGACATGGGGTAGCTCAGGGGCAGAGCATGCGCTTAGCATGCACAGGGCTGGGGCTTAGCCCCAGTAGCGAGGACAGGTTCCAGGGAAGAACGAAACACCACCTGAGGTTGGAGGAGACCAACGAAACGTGGCTAAAGGCTATGTAGCAATTCATTCTAAGTCTAACATTATTTCAAACTAAAAAGCTTCGAGCCAGGTGTGGTGGCACACGCCTGTCATCCCGGCCCTTTGGAAGGCTGAGGCAGAAGGGTTGCAAGTTTAAACACAGGGCAATTCAGCAACATAGTGAGATCTTGTCTTAAAAATTAAAAAGATGGGCTGGGGATTTAGCTCAGCGGCAAAAGCGCCTGCCTGGCAAGCGCAAGGTCGTGAGTTCGGTTCCCGGTACCGGAGAAAAAACAAAAAACAAACAAACAAAAAAAAAAAAATTAAAAAGAGCTGGTTTTGTAGTTCAGTATGAAGACCTGGGTTCAATCCCCAGTACCACACACACACACACACACACTCACACCCATAAGGAGATGGAGGGTTTGAACAACACTACCAGCAGCCCGACCTAGGTGACATGGGACATGTCCCATGCAGACAGCAGCAGGGTGCACAGGACCTCAGGCCCTAGTGGCTCCTGGAGACCAGAGGTTCGGATGGAAGAGGGAACGCACAGAGGCCCAAGGCTGTCTCAGGGCATCCTCTGGTGGTGGCAGCTGGGCCTTTGACCTGGAGAAGGGGAGGGGTTTTCACCCCCACGAACTCTTTCTTCTATGAGGGGCAGATCCAGGGAGACAGGAAGAAGACTGGCCAGAGGGTGTACGTCTGCTCTTTTATGCAAGAGCCGAGTGCTCCGCCCGCACACCACCCGGGAGACTGTTCCCACCCCTACCCTCTTGCACACTCTGACCCTCTTCCCAAGGCAGTGAGGTTCTCTCCACCAAAGAAAGGGTGGTCTGGGACCACTGCCTGACCTCTAGTGGGATGAGGAACTGTGACCCCGGATAGGAAGAGGAACCAAGCGACATTCATAGACGCCAGGAGATGTCAGGGTGGGGTGTGAGCTGGCTTGGGATCAGACAGTTGGTCAGCAACAACCACCCTCTCCATCTACCTCCTCCCGGCTGAGAGGGTGTCAGTCCACCAGGTTGAGGGCACTGTGTGA